TGCCCCCCTGCTCCCCTCTCTCCCCAAAGCCCACAGGCCTCAGATCCCTTGCACTGTTCTGCCCAACCCTGCAGCTCCCATCTCCATGAGTTCAAGGGAACATGTGTAGTTGAAGCCCATGCTGCCTTCGGGGCCACATCTTAGGTCCCTGGGACTCAGGAACTCTCTGCTCAAATAGCCCCAAAGCTCTCCTCCAGGTTGTCCCCCTACAAGGGTGGACTGAGCCTCTGATGCATGCCTCCCTAGGCCTGAGGGGTGGCCGTTTGTGGGGTCTGGACAGAACGTGGCATGCAGACTGGTGTGTCCCTCTGCAGTGCAGGACAGCATGGAGCTGGAGAAGGGGAGGCAGGCCGACGCTGGAGGCCTCTGTCCTCTTACCCTGGGTACTGCAGAAGTTAGGCTGAGCCTGGGCCTGGCTGCTCCCACTGCTCTTCTGTCCTGTTCCCTGATTGCCACATCCTCCCGGGGACCCAGGGCTTTTCTGGACACCCCCAAGCTAGCCAAAGAAGAGGCAGCCACCTCCCTAACCCATATTCCGGCCACACTTGAAACAAGGCCACAAGCCTGCTCACTGTGAGCGTGGGTTTCCAGATTCAGGTGAGGCCAGAGCAGGAAGAAATGGGCAGAAGGTCTGCTTGGAGTCCGCTGGCAACACCCACAGTGGCCTCTAGCCTACAGCGGCACACACGTGGCGGCTGGTGACTGCTTCAGAGCTGTCATCCAAGAAACAGACCCTAACAGCCTGGCTAGGGGCTAGCCTGAGATGTATGACCCCTGCCCAAGTGGACTGGCAGCCTCAGCCCTATAACCCAGACCCATCCTAACCCAGGCCCTGCCCCTTCCTTGGGGCCCTTTTGGTCCACCCTCCAGCTGGGCAGGACTGGTGGCTGCAGGTACAGCAGCTCGGCTCCAGGACATCTTGCTGGAACCTGTCAGGTGCTTTTCTGGTCTGGGTTGCCTTCGACCTCAGGACTCACCAAGTGAGCGGCCCAGGTGTCGGAGGATGGCATTGGACTGGTACAGGGTGAGGTCTCCGTCCTGGAACTTGGGGAGCTGCCCGTACAGCTGGAAGGAGGGATGGTTCGGTGAGGGACACAGAGCTCAGCTGCCCCTCGCCTACTGTTGCCCGGCAAAGGCCCAGTACCTGCCCTGCCTGACGCAGTCACTCACACAGGAGGCCTTGAGTGGGCTCTGCAGCCAGGTCTCCTTGGTCACCACCTCCTCCTTCCAGCTCTGGCCCTGGTCAGCTAGTAGCATGCGCATGGCCTCACAGCGCCCTGGGGGAGGCGAGGACTGGGTAGCAGGGATGGGCAGAGACCCCAGCCAGGCAGCGCCCTGGGGGAGTCCCGATAATGGGGACTGGACATGGGGACAGGATAGAAACCCTAGCTTGGGAGGCTGCTGCAGCAAAGATGAACTGTGGAGAAAGAATGGAGCCCTCAGCCCCTGCAGTGTCTTAGCGAGGGGGACATGAACAGAGACCCCAGCCCACAGTGCCCCAGGAAGGGACCAGAGACAGATGGATACAGTGCACCACCTGTGGCCCCAAGAGGATGCAGCCACGAGGAGAGCCGGCCCTGGTCAGTCCCGGCGATCCCGGCCCCGCCCCCGTCCTCCCTCATCCCGCCTCCAGCCCTGGCCAGAGCCCTGGGAGCAGCCTGCGAGTCCGGCGGCGCACTGTCTGTGCCCTTCGCCCTCCTGCAGGAGCAGTGACCGCACCTCGGGTGGGGAAGTAGAAGATGGTGTAGGGCGGCACTAGGAGAGACAGACAGGACGCTGAAGGAGGACCCCGCGGGGATGCAGGGCCCAGGGGCCAGCAGCCTGGTCAGGGGTCAGACCCCCAAGAGAAGGGGTGGCTCAGCCGGCCCCGCCCTCCACCCAGTTTGGACCCTACTCACTGGCGGCGGTGGAGCGCAAGGGCGGCAGGAAGTGGGGAGGAGCCCGGAGGCCTGATATTTACGGTCCAGCTCCACCCCCGCCGCCCCACCCCAGGAATGCGCCAAGTCACCCAGCGGATCTTGGTCCTGGGCGAGGCTGGGTGTGGCGAGGCCGGGCCGGATGGGCGCACCTGCTCGTCTGCAGGGGTGCACCCTGCCTGCTGGGCTGTGGCTTTACAAGATGCACCCACCTCCTCTCCACACCAAACACACAGAACTTCTCAGGGCCCTCAGAGGGCCAGGATTGAGCACCTGCACACAGTAGGTGCCGCATAAACGCTTTTGGCATGCATGAATGAATTTCAATAAACATCCATTTACACATCCTGTCTCCATGATAAAAATAGCAAACCCTTAGAGGTCCGTGTTGAGAGCTTTACAGGTATTAAAACCCTAAGACTTGGGCCTGTTCTGATTCCGTTTTACAGAGGAGGAAACTGAAGCACAGAGTGACTTTCCCAAGGTCACACAGCTAGTGTACAAGTCTGGTTGGCTTCAGGGGTCTCACTTCTAACCCTCATTCTTTTTTCTGCAAGGCCCTGTAATCTCCAAACCGGTTTTTGACCGAGTCTACATGCTCTGTACTCTCCAAATACAGACTGAGCCTGGAGATGTGAGTGGTTGGAAAGACTGGATGGACTGGAACGAGCAGGGCCTCCTGGCCCTGGGAGGGCTGTATGCTTCCAGGCAGAGCCCCATGCCGGCCTCCCTGCAGGCGCATCTACACCCCGAGCCCGGTTCTCCTGGCTCCCCTTCCTGGTGCTGGGGGTCGGGCTGGGCAGTGGCGGTCTTCCTTGGGAGACTAACTCAGCCTGGTTTCCCTCTCAGAGCCCCAAGGAAAGAGGAAGGCATCCTTCCCAGGTGTGGAGGTGTCCACCCAAAGCACAGGAAAACACCAAACATGCCTAATCGGGGGACCCCTTAGCCTCATTGGAGCCCACAGCTGCCTGGGGCTGGGAGTGGGAGGGGGGCACTGGAGCTGGGTTCCATCTCTGACTCACAGCTGGAAGAACATCTGCCCAGCATTTAGCAGCTTACAAAGAGCTGTCGTATAAATGGTTTCATTTCATCTCCACAGTACCCTGGGAGGAAGGGAGTCACGCTCCCACTATGCAGAAGCAGACACCGAGGCTCAGGGAGGTCCATTTACCTGCTCTGGCCTGGAGCTGGCATGTGCTCCTTTTGCGCACAAGCATCACAGACCCGGGGCAGCCTCCTGCCAGCTCACACCCTCCAGCCGTCACACGCAGGTCCTCTGGGCAGGCAGCCCCCAGGATGGCTTGGCGCTGTGCTGTGGTGGCTGTTCTTAACCACAGGCCCAGCCTGTGGCTTAAGTCTGCCGCCACCCTGGGGCCTCCTCTGGGGCCCAGAAGCATAGCTTTCCCAGCCAACAGGGCCAGGCACCTCCCTGTGTCCACCCCCGACCTTCAGTCCATGTATACATCAGTACCTGTCTTTGGTGGGTTTTAAAATATATGTAAGCACTTTATTGCTACATGAAAGTCACCCTCTTAAAGCCTGCGTTCTGTGGTCTTTAGCATATTCAGTGTTGTGCAATCATCACCACTAATTCCAGAACATTGTCATCATCCTCAAAAGAAACCTTGTACCCATTAGCAGTCATACTTCACTCCCCCGCCCCCTATCCCTTGACAACCACCAATCTATTTTGTCACTATGGATTTGTCTGTTCTGGATGTTTCATATAAACAGAATCATACACTATGTGGCCTTTTGTGTCTGGCTGCTTTCACTTAGCAGGGTGTCTTCAAGTTCATCTATGCTGTGCCCCATGCAATACATCATTCCTTTCTGTGGCCAAATAAAACTGGGTGAGATAACACTTTTTCTTTACTCACTTAGGCATTGATGGACATTTGGGTTGTTTCATTTTTTGGCTGTTACGAATAACGCTGCTGTACACAGTCGTGTACAAATGTTTGTGTGAAGTTATGTTTTCAATTGCTTTGTGTATGTACCCAGGAGTAAAATTGCTGGGTCATATGGCAACTCATTTTGAGGAACTGCCAGGGTCTTTTCCAAAGTGGCTGCACCATTTTATTAACCCAACAGCAGAATATGAAGGTTCCAACTTCTCCACATCCTCACCAACAATTGTTGTCATCTGTCTTTTCTCACTTTAGCCATCCTAGTGAGCGTGTAGTGATATCTCAGTGTGGTTCTGTGTGTGGTGCTTCCCAGTGCCGAGCCTGGGTTTGGCTTGTGGGTGGAGAAAGAGTCATCCATCATTTTTGCCATCAGAGGAATCACAGCTCAGAGCAGGGGAGATAGACAGACGCAGTCTCCATTCACACGCTGGTTATATGTCTCTGCAGCGAGTGACCTAGATGACAGGGGAGACACCACAATAGGTAAGACATGGCCTCCACCCTAATGGACTCTTTTTTTTTTAATTTTGGTCTTCTCTACTTTTTTTATTTTGGGGAGGTACTTAGGTTTATCTGGTACTTAGGTTTATCTATTTATTTTAATTATTATTTTTTAATAGAGGTACTGGGGATCAAACCCAGGACCTTGTGCATGCTAAGCACAACACTCTACCACTGAGCTATACCCTCCCCCCTCCTAATGGACTCTTAATGAAGGATGTAAGACCTTCACCAGCAGTCCATCCACCCAGCCATCTACCCACCTCCACCTATCTGTCTATCCATCTACAGAACCATCTACCCAATCATCCAGCCATCCAACAACCAAATGTTAGACCAGTAGTCTGTCAAAACATCCACCTACCCATTTACCCGTCATCTCATTTACCTACCCAATCATCCTCTACTTGTCTCTCCATCCATATCCTCGTCCACTCATCTGTCCATCCAGTTAACCATCCATCCAACCATCTATCTATGCAACCATTCATCTACCTACCAACATTTAACCACCGGCCCTTCAAATCATCTACCCATCCTTCCATCCAGTCAGCCACCCCATTGCCCATTCATTCATCCATCCAACTTCCCCATCTACGACCTTGCAGAAAACGAGAGAATTCCTGTCTCTGAGGGATGTTTGCAGTGCTGCTGGGGACACAGTGCACTCCTGGCCTCTGGGAGGAGCTGTGACCTGGGGTGCAGAGGAACTGAAGGATGATCTTCACACCCGCTCAGGGCTTTGTGGGAGCTGTTGCCTCTGCCTGCATGGCTGCCCTCCTTCATGCGGTCACTCCCTTCATCCCTGTGGTCCTGGCTCACAGGTCACTTCCTCAGCCCCCTGTCACAGCAAGGTCCCCGTTCTCTTCCCTCTCCATCCTCCTCTTGGGCCCCTCCCTGCACTTACCCTTCCATCTCATTCTGGGTTTGCTGAATATGCAGCTCCCACCACATGGGAGTTTGCAGGAGGCAGGGACTGGTTTCCAGCACCCAGGAAGGCAGAGCCTCCGCAAACATTTGCTGAGGATGGAGCCTCTCTGACGTCTTCTCCAATCTCTTGCCACTCACATCCTTTCCAGGGGCTACTGACCCTGATTTCTTCCTGAGGGCCTCCCCTCGCATACCCTGCTGGAATCCAGAGCCTGGAACACTTCAGTTCACAGCTGATCCCTGTCGGGAACCCCGGGACTTGCCCAGGACCAAGTTAAATATTGGTGGGCAGTGCCTCATCTGCTCCAGGAAGCATTCCTGAAGCTTTGGTCAGTGCCCCCAAGCACTTGGGGACTGTCTGTTGGCCCTTTTCTGAATTAGATGTGTCTGAGAGCAGGGTCTTCAGGGCAGACAGGGTCTATCGTGTGGCCCCAGCAACTGTCCCCGGGCTGGATCCCAACAGACCTCAGATGTTTGCAAAAGGAATACATGAACAGATGGCCATGCATGGCCAAGAGAGGCCAGAGCCACCAGCTCAGGTGGCAGGTGCCTGGCAGGATCTAGTTCCCTCGGACAAAGGCTGGTGCAGGGGGCAGATAAATAAATCATGAGAGGCCTGAAGCCGGGCCGGGGCAGGACAACTGACCTCATTCTGGGAGGTGAGGAGCAGGCAGCTGGGCGGTAAGTGGACTGGGGGCATGACAAGGGGCCAGGAGAGGTCCACCCCCACCCTTTTCCCTGAGAAGCAGGAGGCTGGAAGTCAGCAGAAGCTGGGTGGGAGACGTTGGCAGGAGGCGGGCAGTGGGGAAGTGCAGAGGTACCGGGGCACTGAGTGAGGAGAAGGGAGGGTGTCTTGGGCGGGCTTGAGTGGGGATGCTCTTTCCAGAATCCAGGAGGCATCCTGGGAGGAGGGATGGCGAGAACAGGAAATACAAGGATGGACAGACAGATGGACAGACCGATATGAGAGAGTCTCATGCAACAGAGGGAGGGAACTGACAGAGATGGGCACGAGGGGACAGAGAGACACAGCTAGACAGATATCAGCCAGGAGCAGAGGGTCCAGAGAGGACCACAAGTGAGACAGACACAGAGAGACACCCCTGGAGCGGCCGGGACAGAGAGCAACACAGAAACAGAGGTAGAAGGGGATGTGGGGAGGTGCAGAGACCACGAAGAGAAGCCAGGTGACCCAGAGTCGGCAAAGACGGTGTGGTGCGGTAGAGCCCCAAGGCGCAGTCTGTGTCCAGTGTGAGGGCTGGAGGGTGGCGGGTGCAGGAAAGGCTAAGATTTCAGGCTGAGGCTGTGTGAGGGGCCTGGGGAACTAGGAAAGACGTGGGCCTCGGAGGGCCTGGGGCTCCATCAGCCAGTGCAGTGACAAACAGGGAGCAGAGTGGCAGGGGACCACACCACAGCTGCCCACTAAGCCCCCCTCCCCAGGAACAGGGAGAGCGGAGCGGGGCGGTGCCCCTCAGCCAGCAGAAAGTGCCAAGCCCTCGACTCCATGGCCCTTGCCCAGAGTCCGGCAGACGGCAGCCTTCCCACGGGGGACCCCAGCACCTCTGAGGGCACTCCCAGGCCTAGCCGGACCCCTGCCAGCCCAGCAGCCACCAGGCGAAAGGCACTTCTCCAGGAGCTTGAGGCCCAGGTGCAGGCCGCCTACGGGCAGGTAAAGGGGGCAGGGGTGTGGGGCCA